CCCACATCTCTCTGTTTCCCACATCTCTCTGTTTCCCACTCCTCTCTCCTCTTCTCTCCTTCACCCCTCCTCCATCCACCCCCCCTTCCCCCTCCCCTTTTCCGCTCCCACTCCCCCCTTGCAGCAGCATCAGTGTCGTCTCCCCACCGATCACACTCGCCCCCAACCCATCACGCAACGAATCCTTCCCCCCAAGGCGCCCCTCCCGCCTCTATCTCACTCCCACTCCCCTCTCCGCCTTTCCCCCCCATTCCCACTGCAGCAGCATCTGTCTCCTCCCCCCCACCCATCAACACGCGCCCCAACCCATCAATGCAGCGAAATTCTTCCCCCCAAGCCTGGCAGCCGGGGCTCCTGGCGGGACAACCAGCACCTCACTCCGCCTATGTCGCCGCTCCCTCCTCTATCTCACTCACCCGCCTCTCTTCCCATTCCTTCTCTTGTGTTCTTGCTTTTTCCCATTCCCCTTCCCCTTTCCCTCCCCTCCCCTCTTCTCCACTGCAGCAGCATCAGTCTCCTCCCCGCCGCCCATCAACACGCGCCCAACCCATCAATGCAACGAATTCTTCCCCCAAGCCTGGCAGCCGGGGTCTCCTGGCGAGACAACCAGCATCTCACTCCGCCTATGTCGCCCCTTCTACCCACCACCCCCGAACCCTCCTACTCTCCCCGCGCCGCTGCCGCTGGCGGTGTCGGCAGCGGCGGATGAAAGTGTTTAACAAAGAGTTTTGGCGGCCTAGGCGGGCCCCTGCGAGGAGCCTAAGTGACGCGTCTATCAGGAGATTACCGATTTGTTAGAGGAGGAGGAGGGGATGGGGGGTATGGCGGTGGGAACGATGGTTTCGGCGGGGAGGAGGAGGGGGCGGAGGGGGAGGAGGAGGGGGGAGGAGGCGGAGGGGAGGGGGAGGGGGAGGGTTTGATATGCTATCTCCAAGGTTACCCACATCGAAAACGGTTAATTCTGCTTATTACTCCAGGAGCACCAGCCGTCGAGGCACCGGCTCAGTCAGACGCAACAAGACAAGCAGCAACAGCAGGCGCAACAGTCGCAGCAGCTATCCCCAGCAGCAGCTACCACCCCAGCACCACCACACCTCCCACTTCGCCCAATCACCCCAGCCCTCCACTCTTCCTCCCTACATGTCCACGATTCCCAAGTCGAAATCCGCTGATGTGCCTGGTGCGGCAGCAGCGGCTGGAGGGGCAGGGGCGGCAGCGGCACATGCGAATGCACATGTGCATGCGAGAACAAACTCTATGGTTTCGCAAGGGGGTGCGGGTGGGTCTGTGCCGGTGGCAGCACAGGCGGAGTCGAGCAGAGGGCGCATGTATGGGCTCGGGCGGAAGGGGAAGATGGTGAGTGCTGCTGCTTTGATTTCTGTGGGGGGGAATGTGAGGGGGTTCACATGATGAGGGGCATCCCATGGTGAGCAGATAAGGCGAACAGGCAGGTGACAGAGGTGACTCTTGAGTCGACTCAAAAGTCACCTCATTATGAGGGGGGTGCCATGGGTAGCAGACAAGGCGAACAGGCAGATAACAGATAGCTCTTTAGTAAGTCGTTTTTGAGTCGACTCAAAAATAGACAAGGCCAACAGGCAGATACGGACAGCTCTGTCTGTTCCCCGATCTACACACCCCCCTTTCCCCCTCCACGCGCCCCCCTTCGCCTCACACTTAGCTCTTCCCTGGGCTCCGAACACTTGCTCACCTGTGATGCGCCCACCTTTCGTTCCGAGGTGACTTTTGAGTCGACTCAAAAGCCCCCGTCCCTCTTCCCTCCACACTTAGATCTTCCCTGGGCTACGAACACTTGCTCGCCTGTGATGTGCCCACCTTTCGTTCCTCCCCTCCCTTGCTCGCTGCAGCAAAAAGAGATGGCGGCACTGGCGAAGCTGCAGCACACGAATCTGGCAGCCATCCTGGATATGCAGCGGACAAGGAGGACATGCAGATCACCCTTGTTTCTGCTCCTCTGCATTTCCAACCCCCCAACCCCCCCCTCTCCTCTGAACACTTGTTTACCTTCCGTGTGCTGCAGCAAAAGGAGATGCAGCATTGGCAAAGCTGCAGCACACGAATCTGGCAGCCATCCTGGGATATGCAGCGGACAAGGAGGACATGCAGATCGCTCTTATTCTTGTTCCCCCATCTCCCCCCCCCGCCTTCTACTCACTCTCCCCTTTGCTCTCACTGCTTGTTTGCTCTTTCTATCGCTGCAGCAAAGAGATGGCTGCACTGGCGAAGCTGCAGCACACAAATCTGGCAGCCATACTGGGATATGCAGCGGACAAGGAGGACATGCAAATCGCCTATGACCTCCCTCCCAACTGCACGTGCCTCGAGAACTACCTCTTTCCAGGTATGCTGAGAGAATATTCCCCTTTAAGGAGTGATTTGATTATATATGACAAGGAGGATATGCAGATCGCCTACGACCTCCCTCCAAACTGCACGTGTCTTGAGAACTACCTCTTCCCAGGTATGTTGTGCTGTGCACAACTTGCACCTTCAGAAAGAGATTCGATAAGATTTAACAAGTGCAGATTGTGCATATAGTAGTGTACGATTTGAAGTTGAAATGCAGGTGCCTCGAAAAACTACCAGTTTCCTTCCAGACTTCCCCTCATCTCTCCTCTTTCTTCACTACCATAATTCCCTTTCCCTTACATCAGAGGATGCGGAAGGGGAGTTCCTGCCGCTGAGAGTGCGCCTCAAGGTGGCAGTGGGGATCGCCAAGGGCTGACCTTCCTGTACCTTTTTCAATCTCATCTCACCCCACTTCACCCCTTGCATCAGAGGATGGAGAGGGAGAGTTTTGCCGCTGAGAGTACGCCTCAAGGTGGCAGTGGGGATCGCCAAGGGGCTGACCTTCCTGCACTCGAGTGCAGTGGTGCATGGGAACCTGCTGTCGAGAAACATCATGCTGGATAAGGTGAGGGTTCAGTGAGAGTTCATAATAATAGAGAGTGAGAGTTCAGCGAAAGTTCGCTAGTGTATACAGGGGGCTTTTCCGATGTCCCGGGCGCAGTGGTCCAAGGCAACTTGCTGTCGAGAAACATCATGCTGGATAAGGTGAGAGTTCTATGAAACTTCCTAGGGTTTCCTGTGGCTCGGTGAGAGTTCAGTGAAAGTTCGTGAGGTTGGCTGTGGCTGGGTGAATGTTCGGTGGGTTTTTTCCCTTCACGTTGCCCACCAGAGCTTCACAGTGCGCTGACGTGCTATGATGTCTTGTGAGACAGGAGTTTTAAGTTCTTCCCATCCTCTTGAACTTTCTTCCCTGTGTCTTTTTTTTTTTTTTTTTTTTTGTTTTTTTTTTGTTTTTTGGCAGAACTTTACGGTGCTGTTGACTGGCTATGGTTTGGCGACCATGCTGTCCAAGACAAGCACTCGCAAGAACCTCAAAGGTACTTATCGTGCTGATGCTGCTGGATTCCCACTCACTGCTTCTGGGCCGTCTGACTGACTGACGGATAGTGACGGAACACTGTATGCTAACCATGCTGTCCAAGACCAGCACACGCAAGAACCTCAAAGTTATTTATTTGATTCACTCTCTCGCTGCTTTTGACTCGACTCACAAACTGCTGGACACTGACGGGCTACGGCCTTGCAGCCATGCTGTCCAAGACCAGCACACGCAAGAACCTCAAAGGTACGTTACGCTCGCTGGCTCAATATGAGTACTTTAGTGCTGTGCGCGCTAGCATTGTGACCATGCTTTTTATTTCTTTCGCTCCTCCCTTCCCTTTCGCCCCCTCCCAGGCCCGGGCGGCATGGCCAAGGACGCGTTTGAAAACAGGGTGGTGCTATTCGAGCTGCTGATCAGGCGGAGGGCTTTCCACTCACATACTCTCCATCCCATCCCACCTGCCCTCACCCCTTCTCATCCCTCTCCCACCCCCGCCAGGCCCGGACGGCATGGCCAAGGACACGTTTGACTACGGGGTGGTGCTTTTCGAGCTGCTGACGGGGGAGAGGCTTGTTGCTCACACTCTCTCCTTTCCCTACCACCTGACCTCAAGTCCTTCCCTGTGCTCTTCACGCCCTGCCCGTTTCCCCCACCCCCAGGCCCGGACGGCATGGCCAAGGACGCGTTTGACTATGGGGTGGTGCTATTCGAGCTGCTGACGGGCCGCAGGGGCGCGCTGGTGGCGGACAGGGAGGGCGCGGACGGGCTCATCGCGTGGGCGAGAGCCGCGCATCGAGGAGTACGAGCTCAGCGCTGCTTGCGCCGAGCCACTAAACGCATGGTGGTGCGCATGTTGGATGTGCTGGCCAAGGAGTGCGTTCAGGAGGACCCCAGATGCCGACCTACTATGAAGGATCTGGTGGTGAGACTATACAGTCTCCAAGAATCTCTGCATCGCAGTAGCGAGGAGTGGGAGAGTGGGTACCGGGGGAGTGGGTATGGGGGAGAGGGGACTGGGGGAGTGGGCTGATTGCGTGGGCAGAGCCGCGCATCGAGGAGTATGAGCTCAGCACTGCTTGTGCCGAGCCGACTAAACGCATGGTGGTGCGCATGTTGGATGTTCTGGCAAAAGAATGTGTGCAGGAGGACCCCAGATGCCGACCCACAATGAAAGATTTGGTCGTGAGACTATACAGGCTGCAGGAGTCTTTTGAGACGTCTCAAAAGTCTATACAGCCTGCAGGAGTCCCTGGCGTCGCAGTGAGGGGTGTGTAGTAGGGAGTGGGTGGCAGGGGGGAAGAGGTGGGTGCGGGAAGGAGGTGGGGTGGGGGAAGAAGGGATGGTGGTGAGGATGCTGGATGTGCTGGCCAAGGAGTGCGTTCGGAGGACCCCAGATGCCGACCTACAACAATGAAAGATTTAGTCGTGAGATTGTACAGCCTGCAAGAATCCCTGGCGTCGTAGTGAGGAGTTGTGTGTCAGGGATGGAGGGGTATTATGGAGCAGAGCAGTTGGGGTGCTGCAGGTGCCAGCCTTCGGCTTTAGATGACGGAAAGGAGGGCGGTACTAAAGCTACTGAAAATATCTCAGAAGGCTAAGGGTGACACCCCAACAGGTTGGGAAGCTGTGGTGGACAGGAGACTTCAAGTTAGGAGCGAGAGGGGGCTGTTACAGCCCCATCTGGAATCGTTTCAGCAGCTGGATGTGCAGGAGAAAGGGAGCAGCTGCGGCTGCTGCTGATGCTGTTGCAGGAAGGAGTGCTGGGGCAGCAGCTGCTGGTACTGATGTTGCTGTGGGAGCCGGATTTGGTTGTGGGAGGCATTCAGAATCGACTCAAAGATAGCCTGTGGCAGTAGTTTGGATGGATGCAGCAGTCAGGTGTGGGATTGGAGAAGTATTTGAGCAGCTGGCGAATAGAAGATGGAGCTGTGGCTTGGAGATAATGGTTCTGGTGGTGCTGCTGTGTGCATCAGTCGTGGCTGGTAACAAACCTGTTATTATCACACCCATTTACCATTACTGTAGTCAGGACATGCTGGTAACACACACCCAGCAATAACCAGGAGAGCTGAATATTATTAGGAATCAAAGTGGGCAACCAATCAGGTGGATGACAACAGGGGGCCAGGCAGGAACTACTCATTCTCAGTGTGCTTTGAGGTGTCCAGGCCTCATTTTCCAGCTGATTTGCTGGTCTGTTGTTAGGCTTGCTAACAGGTGGAAGTTTGATGTGGCAACTTGTTACGAGTGCAATTGAGTGAACGAACGAGAATTGCACTATCGAAGCAGGAGTACAAAATGAGCGAAGGCATGAGCGAAGGATTATATAGCGAAGCAATAGTGGTAACGGTAATGGACTGTGGTTGTCGCGCGATGAGCCTGGACTGAGGTTGGGAAAGTGTCGAAGCGTAGGCCCGGAGCGCGGGTTACCAGCCGAGCCGTGAGGTCGGGATGCGATGTGCGAAAAGGGCGGGATGATGAATGATGCGATGGTCGCGAGTGGTAACGGTGCTGACTGAGGTGCTACAGTGATGTACGCGTTGAGCAGGGACGCGAAGTAAGGAAAGGGAATTTCCTTACACTACCCCCCTCCCCAAGGAGGCCCCTCTTACGAGAGCGCATGGACGTCGCGGAAATTTCGGCTTCGCAGATACTCGGTAAAGACAGGGTGGTTCTCAATTTTATCCAGGGGGACCCAGTTGTCTTCTGTGGGCGTTCGATCCTTCCAGCGAATTAGGAATTCGATCCGTCGTGCTCCCCGAGGGTTGCGGACTCGGTGGCTGAGGATTTTTTCAGGGGTGATTAGTGGTTCGGTTGGGGGACGTGTCATGCTGGCTGGGGCGATTTCGTGGCAGTTGGCTCGTGGATGGTATGTAAGGGCGAAGTAGGCTGACGTGGAATGACGGGCTGACGTACCAGTCAGCAGGGAGGAGGAGGTGGGCGGTGACGGGAGTGATCATGTGGCTGATGCGAAATGGCCCACAATATCGGGGGCGAAGTTTTGGAGTGATGGGCAGGCGGAGGTTCTGGGTATCGAGTAGTACCAGGTCGTCTGACTGGTAAGTGACAGGTCGACGGTGGCGATCGGCGTTTCGTTTAGCGATGATGTTGGCTTTTTTAATTGCGTCTGCTGCCCTGGTCCGTGCTGCTTGCAAAATCTCGGCGAACTGTTGGGCTCGTGGGACTGGATTGTCGGGGTGTGGGGTCATGGGTACTGTTGGGTCCTGTCCGTAGTTCAGGTAAAACGGTGACTGTTGCGTCGTGGCTGATGGTGCGTTGTTGTACGCGAACTCGATGAGCGGCAGCTGATGTTCCCACGTGTTCGGATCGTCGCACGTGGCTCGAATCAGCTGCTCCATGGTTTGGTTTGTCCGTTCCGTCTGTCCGTCGGTTTCGGGGTGATAGGATGAACTGAATTGAAGTCGTGTGCCGAACTGCTGCCACAGGTTCCGCCAGAAGTTGCTGGTGAATTTCGTGTCGAGGTCGCTGATGATTGCCGATGGTATCCCGTGGAGGCGAACGACGGTGGTGATGAAGAGGCGGGCTGTTTCTTCGGCTGTGATTGATTTCTTGCATGCTGCGAAATGTGCCATCTTCGTCAGTCGATCGACGGCGACCAAGATCGCGTCGTTCCCACTCGCCCCGGCCGGTAACCCCGTGACGAAGTCCATCGTCACCTGCTGCCAAGCACGCTCTGGGGGTGGGATCGGCTGCAACTGTCCTGCCGGCCGCTTCCGTGATGATTTCATGACCTGGCAGGTGGGACACGATGCTACGTGTCGTTGGATGTCGGTCAACATTTCTGGCCAGTAATAATACCGCTGCAAGCTGCTGTCGTGTTTTTTCTACCCCGAAATGTCGTGAGGTAACTCCGTCGTGTGCCTCTTGTAACAGTAATTCCCGTAGTAGTGTATACCCGGGTACCCAAATGCGGTCGGTCCCAACCTTTACGTAATAGATCCCTCGTGCTGCTGCGAACTGCTGCGAGTTGCCTCCTGTAAAGAACGGGTCGGTTTGGTATCCGTGGGTAAATAGGCCTGTCAGCAGTGGGCTGGTCTGGGCGAGTAGTATCGCGTGAATGTGGGCAGTAGGGCGAGTCAGTGCATCGGCGATATTTGATGCTCCTTTTTTGTAGGTGACCGTGTAGTGAAAATTCGACTCGAGGAAATCGAGCCATCGAATCTGTCGTGGGTTGAGGTGAGGCTGTGCGCGGAGGTACTGTAGAGATTTGTGGTCTGTCCGTACTGTCACGTCTGCGCCGGTCAAGTAACAGCGCCACACTTTGAACGCATGCACGATCGCAAGCATTTCGCGATCGTGTATCGGGTAATTCCTTCTCAGGTGGGTGCAGTTTTCGTGATTCGTATGCGATGGGCTGTAGGCCGTTCCCGAAATCCTGTAACAGTACGGCTCCGATGGCGATGTCGCTTGCGTCAGTAATGACTTCGAATGGGCGGTGTGGGTCGGCAATGCGCAGGACAGGTGGTGAACAGAGAACAGTTTTCAGGGTAGAGAAGGCAGCATGCTCTTTCTCCCCCCACGTAAAAGCGACCCCTTTCCGCAGCAGATCCGTCAGTGGGGCAAGTTAAGCGGGCCATGTCAGGCACGAATCGACGGACATAATTAACGAAACCCAAAAAACTCTGCAGCTCCGTGATGTTTGTCGGGGGGTGCCAAGCTTTGACCGTATCCAGCTTCTTCGGGTCAATCTCAACCCCAGCCTCTGAAATAACGTGCCCCAAAAATTCTAACCTATCCCGAAAAAACTCGCACTTAGACCCCTTAGTCAATAAACGATGCTCCTCGAGAATTTTAAACACTGCTTCCAGGTCCGCCAAATGCTGTTGCTTATCGCGGCTGTAGACGAGAATGTCGTCGAGGTAGACGATCACGCACTTATCTAAAAGTGGTCTAAACGCCTCGTTCATGGTCATCTGGAATGTTGCGGGTGCGTTGGTTAGCCCGAAAGGCATCACGGTGTACTCGAACGACCCGTACCTAGTTCTAAAAGCTGTCTTGGCGCAGTCCGATGGTTCGACTCTAATTTGGTGGTAACCTCCCCGTAGATCTATTTTCGAGAACACCCGTGCTGTTCGCTAGTTGGTCGATCAGTTCGTCGGCGCGGGGAATGGGGGTATCGTGACTTTATTGTAACCCTGTTGAGCGCATCGGTAATCGATGCACATGCGAAAACCCTCCGTCTTTTTTGGTGTGAATAGTATCGGTGCGGCGAACGGCGACGAGCTCGGTCGGATAAACTGCTTTGCTAACAGGTAATCTAACTGCTTTCTCAGTTCGTCGAGCTCCGGCTGTGTCAGTCTGAACTGGCGCTGTACAGTTGGCTGTGCCCCCGGCTCTAACTCTATCCTATGGTCGTGCGCCCGCTGAGGTGGCAGTCCTTCCGGTAAGTCGTCGGGGAAAATTCCCGGGTACCGTTTCAATAGCTCTTGTAGCTCTGGCGGTACCGCTGTCAGCAATTTCTGGAATCACTCGGCTGTCATCTTTTTCTACCACTGCGATGTCTACTGCATACACGTCAGCTCCAGCGGCGACTGCTCGTTTCATTGTGATGGCGTTGACGTGGACCGTCGATGACTCAGGCGACTGCCAGCGTGGTAGTTCGACCCAGTTACCACTACTTCGCACAGTGCAGCTGCCCGTCGTCCAGGTCGATTCTCGGATTGTAACGTCGCAACCAATCACGTCCCAATAAAATGTCGTGCCCATCCAGTGTCGTCGCGAGCATTTCCTGTGTAAACCCGAAGTTTCCCCCGCAGCGAACTTTTACTCTCTCCACCTTCTCCCGTATGGCCAGCGGCGTGCCGTCGACTAAGCGCGCATCAATCTCAGGTAAACATCGGCTAAGTGTCAGTTGAAGTTTTCGTGCGGTTGCGGTATTAACTAAACTGTGGCTAGCTCCTCCGTCGATGAAAATCTTGACTGCTGCTCCCTGTATTTTCCCGTGGATCAGTACTGGGCAATCCGTCGCTGTACCCTCCTTATTCATCCGAGCCGATCGATGGCGTGAAT